CGATCCCCTGGGTCAATATATACCCTCCTTATGGGACAGTGGGACAGGTGTGCAACCGAGTTCGAATGTGAAATTTCCGAGATCCTGGCGTGGCTTCGTTGCTCAGCTGGTAGAGCGGTTGCCACGTTGACGCACGGTTTGTGTGTCGCTGTTCAGAATCCAGCCGAAGATCTGACTTGTCACAGTTGGGTCTCTACTGATTTGATAAATCTGCCACATTTCTCATTAAGAATTCAAATTTCATACTCACCAGCGGCGTTGGTGAATTTCAGCGTGAACTGATTCAGATATCCTGCCGGAGCAGTGGATCTCTTGTATAAATTGTTCTTCTCCCTATGAGACAGTGAGACGGGTGTGCAACCGAGTCCAAATTTGAAATTTCCGAGCTCTTGGCGTGGCTTCGTAACTCACCTGGTGGAGCGGATGCCGCGTTTAGGCATGGTTAGTGTGTCGCTGTTTAGATTCCAGCCGGAGCACTGACCAGTCACAGTTTTTTCTAATTTGATCCGATATATATGCCACACTACCTACTATTAACACAAATTCTATGCTCAAAAGTGGCGTTGGTGGATTCCAGCGTCAACTGTTTGGGAAATGCTGCCGAGGCAATTCATTCCCCTCATCATATGTTACCTTTCGCATGATACATTGGGACGGGTGGGTAACCGTGTCCAAATGTGAAATTTCCAAGCTCCTGGTGTGCCTTTGTACCTCAGCTGGTAGAGCGGTTGCGGCGGTGAGGCATGGCGTGTCTGTCGCTGTTTCGAATCCAGCCGAAGCTCTGACTTGCTACACTTGGGTCTCATCTGATTTCATGAATCTTCCACACTTCATATTATTTATACAAATTCTATGCTCAACAGTGGCGTTGGTGGATTTCAGCGTGATTTGTTTGAGAAATCCCGCCGGGGCAGTCGATCCCCTGGACTATTTGATGAATTCCATATGAGACAGTGGGACGGGTGTGTAACCGAGTCCAAATGTGAAATTTCCGAGCTCCTAATGTGGCTTCATACCTCAGGTGGTGGAGCGCTTGCCGCGTTGAGGCATGGATTGTCTGTCGCTTGTTCGAATCCAGCCGAAACACTGACTTGTCACAGTTGCGTCTCATCTGATTTGTAAATTCTGCCACACTGATCAGTATAAATACAAATTCTATGCTCAACAGCGGCGTTGGTGGATTCCACCGTGAAC